TTTTCAGATCTATATTCAACAACAAAATAATAAAAAAAGATTATTAACAAGATTACCACACGAATTACCTCCACCAAAGTCATGCATGATTAGCCATCGAGTACTAGTTCCTAGAACAATGACATCATTTCCAGATGTCATAGAAGTAATAACTCTATGGCCTTTTGTTGCATATCTCTCTAGAAATCTAGAGTAAATACGAATTACCTCCACCAAAGTCATGCATGATTAGCCATGGAGTACTAGTTCCTAGAACAATGACATCATTTCCAGATGTCATAGAAGTAATAACTCTATGGCCTTTTGTTGCATATCTCTCTAGAAATCTAGAGTAAATACATGTCTTAAGTCTAACTTCTCTAGGGTCCTGCATCCAAAGCCCAAGTCAAAACTTTAAAAAGAAAAAACCATTAACATAATCTGTATTTTGGCCTCGTAAAAGATATGTTTGAGAAACTCCAATTCCATGGTGTATAAAAAGACGACAGTAGTAAAGGGAATTAGAAAAAAGCAAATGCAAAACTTGTGAACTTATGTTTTCCAGATACCAGATGATACTTTAATTGCATCCCTTCATTGTTTATACTTTTTAATCCACTTAAGTGAATACGATATCCTATTTAGGTTCTTTCAAACAGGGGCGGAGCTTCAACGATTGATTCGAGGGGGCCGGAAATATAATATGTATGGAAATATAATATGTATAAAAATTGGTAAGCAGGGGGGCCACAGCCAAAATTTTATAGTTTTGGGCCTAAAATGTATAAAATGAAACTAAAATGACTATTTATAACCAAAAATTCAGGGGGGGCCACAGCCCTCCCTAGCCCTAATAAAATGACTATTTATAACCAAATATGCATTTTCTTTCAAAAGTTTTCTATGTATATTTTATCTATAATTATATTTTAATTTTGTAATTTATTTTTTCAAATAGGTTCAAAACGTTTCACCCGATAAAAAAAACATTAATATGCATTTTCTTTCAAAAGTTTTCTATGTATAAAATATTTAAACTATAATATATCTTCTTAGTAATTGTTTATAAATTTCAAATCACAACTAAATAATTTGTTTTCGCTTCTTGTGTAAAGTTGGGTAATATTATAATTATATGTCGTTTTAAAATGTTTCAGTTTTTGAAAATCGAATTATAAAAACTGATCCAACCAAATTGTAATTGGATCGGATAGGATCGGATTTGAATTTAGTTTGGACTATTTGGATCCATGTTTTGAAAACCGAAATCAATTTGGATTCACTTGATTGGATCGGATCAAACTGATTCATCCAAACGAACACCCTTAATCAAATACCTTAATTTTATTTTCTCGACATATCGAACGATGCCAGATTTGACAATATCATGAATCCAACTCATAATCAGATCAGGCCCATTGTTTCCTTATCAGAGTACAAATTAGAATGATTCTTATAAGGAGGATCTTCGATTCAAAAACATTATACATACATCCGATCATTGAAAAGTCTTGTCATTTGATGGTGCTTGATTACATGAGCGGAGAAACTCAAAGGAGTAAATTATGTTGAATTTCCCGAGACATGAGCTCGGTGGCCGATTTATTTTGGAACAAGATGACGATACACTCATTTAATTTATTTGAAGCGCACTCTGTATGTTAAATTGTTCTCAAATTCATAAATGTTCTCATTTGAACACACCTCTCTCTCTCTCTCTCTCTCTC